GACTCACAGTGTTCTCCGACGAGCTAAAAAGCTTACTGGATGGCACTCCTCCTTTTGCTGCGTCTCTGCAGGAAGCAGGAAGGGCAGGAGAGAGCTAGCTAGCCCAGCTATGCTGACTCAGGACTTCTGGGAGTAGAAGTCCATGAGTCATAAAAGATGTTTTCGGTTGTAAATGGGTCCAAGTGGCTCTTCGAGTGTTTTGGGTTACCTACTCCTAGGGCCTAAGAAAAAAGCACTGAGTTGTAGGAATCATAACAAATCACCAGAATTCTTGATCGGTTTAATTTCCTGCTTTTAACAGCTGGTCTTGGGGTGAAGAGAATCAAATCCTGCCACAAGACCTCCCAGTTGCTATTGGCACAGCCTTCTCAAAACAACACAACTCCATATTTTGAGCTGGAGCACAGGCTTGAACCAGAGGAGCCGGTCAAATTTCCCCCGAACCCTGACTTAACCACAAAACAACGGCTAAAAGGAGAATAGTTTCTCCTTTCTGTTATGTTTTTCCTTCTAAACAGTAGAAGAAAATACAGTGAGCAATTGCTTTGGGAGATCAACAATAACACCAATAGAGTTGGAAGGTCTTGTAGTCCAGCAGGAAAGCCTATAGTACCACTTCAGACAAATGGTTGTCAAGTCTCTTCTTAAAAACCTGAGGCCCTACTCTTTCCTTGCCCAAAAGAGGGCAAAAAAGTCAGGCTTTCCCAAGATATGAAAGACTATGTTGTTATTTTAGGGGCAAAGTCATCAGAACGCAGCCTTAGGCAGGAATAGCAGCCACACAAGGAAATCAACCTTACCTGCCAACTTCCAGTCACACATGCGCAGTAGTCCTCCACTGTCTTACACACCGACCTCCCCGGGATGGCCAACTTCCTGTCCGTTTCTGTGGCCGTCCTTCCACTTCCATTCAGAACGACCTTCTCGGCATGGCCGACTTCCTGTCCCTAAGCAGGCGGCTGGATGCCGGTACGAGAGACTAGGAGGCTGGGTCTCTTTGTGCCCTTTCCACTTCAGAGGGAGAAAAACAAGAGGCCAAATTGGGAACATAGAGATACAGTTCATATGTTGGAAACATAAATTTCAGGGATTCTTTCTCAGGCTTAGTTGCCCCATCTGCATTTGTAAAATGGCCCCTGGGCCCCGTTTTACAGCCGGAGAGGGCAAGACAGGGTCAGGGAACAGAACAGTCGGGATTTTGAGGTTATTCTTTTGCATCTGTATTATTAGAAGCCTTGATATTAATAATTATAGAGCAGAGGTTTTCAACCAGTGGTATGTGTACCACTTGTGGTACTTTGCCACATGGCCTGTAGACCGTGATTGCAAGTCAAGTGTAGTAGGGGAGGGGAATGAGCCTATCGTGGCTTATTAATATTAATAAGGTTTTAATAATAAAGAATAATCATCATCTTAAAACGCCATTAAAGAGGTTTATTTATTTTTGTGGCTGCAGTATCTGATTTGACAGAGTTTTCTGTCCCTTGGCTATAGGATGGAGGCCATTAAAAAAAGCCTACCATTGACTCCAAGCTAAAGCTATGAGACGGGAAAGTGTGCCCTCTTCTGGTCAAAAACGGGTATTGTGGCCACCAAAAGAAATAAACCTTTTTAATGGCATTTTAAATTCTCTATCTTTATTAACAGTATTAACACCTTATTAATAGGGCCAGGGGAGGCCCGTTTGCTGCAACGCAGGCGCGGAAGAAGAAATCTGCTTCAAAAGCCTTAAATCTAGTTAATGAGGACTATGATGCCCTATTAATATTAATAAGGTTTTAATAATAAAGAATAACCTTAAAATGCCATTGAAAAGTTTTTTTTTAATTTTTATTTTTAACCAACAAAACAGAACAAAGCAAAATATAACACACATACACATACAATCTATACTCCTTTTTTTTACAGCAATTACGTAACGGTAATCTAATATTTACATTTCCCCCTTATTCTTCTTTAGAATATTTGTCCTTATAGCCCCATTAATTCTTATTTACATTTTTCTTCCTACATGTTCTACTTCTTACTAAGAATAATTCATATTATTATACATTATTATAGACATATTTTCACTTTTGACCTTTATTTATTCTCCTCTATTGAAAAGTTTTTTAATGGCTCCTCTACCTGCTTCAATCACAGGATGGCACTGTTTTTTGACCCTTAATACCATTCAATAACTTCAATAGATCAATAATAATAATCTTAAAATCATATTAAAAGGATTTATTTCCTTTTGTGACTGCTATTCCTTCTTTAACCGTAGGACTCAATTCTTCCCAGAGGGCTTGACCGCTTTAGTCTCAATAAATAACTTCCCCTCTCCCAGGAAAAAGGCGATGGGAGCATAAGGGGGCCTCCTGTGGACTTTCCTCACTGTTTTTAAATATCCCTAGGCTACACCCAACCTAAGCAAAGCAGCTACCAACAGAATAAGAGACGTGGAGTTCCAGCTAGAACTTAACAGAATCTCTCTCTGCAGCAAGAAAATGGATTAAATGGGGTGTGTGGGGACCAGCAAGGTATCTGAAAGACCTGAGCTTTCCTAAGAGAGGAATCCTACCTCCTGCTATTTCCCACCAAAACTGCAAAATTTAGAGGAGCGGGGGTAATCGCAACCTCCCACCGTGTTTCCCACTGCCTCTTGCGGTTTTTACTGGGCTCCCAACCTTCCTCCAGTTCCATCCCCGTCTTTTTAAAAGGAAAAGCCTTAATCTCACTGAAGCTGGCAAAAAAGGGGGGGAAAAATCCTCAAGAACAACTTATCTGTTTTCCCCCAGTTCCTTCTTAACAGCCACAGAAAGGGGGGGGTCACCCATTTGGCAGAGGGAGCGTGACCTCCTTTCTCCACTGCCTTTTCCAAAAAGGCTGAAGGTTTCATCCGGCAGGCGTCCCCACCCTTCCTCCCCACCCTTCCTCCTGGCCGCTACATTAGTCGATGCAGCTGTGACTGGGGGAAGTTAGCAAAATTGCAAGCCGGACTCTGCAAAGACCCGGGTCTCCTGCTTCCCCCAGAGAGACCTGCTTTTCCTTTCTCTTACCTCTGGGCGGTGGGTGGGCTGTTTACGGCAACCTGGAGAGGAAAGGAAGGAATCTCCTATCCGTCCTAACCCTGACTTGTTTTGGACGAAGGTCTACAAAGTTAGATGGACGGCGAACAAAATAATAAAAGCCATTAGTTGCAACTTCTCACGTCTCATCCCTTTTATCCATCCTTTAAATGATAAACCTAGAAGGGAACGATAGGTTATACACAGTTTCAAAATAAACTGCATTTATTTTTATATTGATCGTTTCTTAATAAAAATGCACACAATTTCAAATAGAGATTTGATATTGCGCCTAGATTAATACAGAGGGATCTCTAAGAAATATAGTTTAGAAACATCAAACCTAAATACAAACCTACATACGTACGATCTCCTTAAAGAAATAGCAGGGCAGGAGAAACAAAACTATTCTTGAATAAAAATACCTGGATTTGCTTGAAGGGGGCGAGCGGGGTGCACTTTTTGGAGGAGCAACCTCTTTAAGATGTAACACAGGGAAGCGCGATACGACTGGTTCTTCTACAGCCGGGACTCGGGAGCTCGGAAAACACCATTCAACGGCTGCCTTGCTTGGCAGCCTTCGAGGGACCCCCGAGACGGGTCGGAACCCCCTTCCAGACCCGGAGGCCAAAAGCCTGGAGCGTGTCCCGCCGGCCCCGCCTCTAAAAAGGAGCTAAAAAGAAGCCGCGGCTGAGCTCGCGTAAACCACCCCGAAGTGTGGTATTAAAACAAGCTAACTTCGTCTCTACGTTCCCAATTTAGCCCCTATAGCTGAAAGGGAAAGAGCGCAAAGAGACCAGGTCTCGCAACCTCCGGCGCCGCCGCCGCCACCGGTTCTCGGTCGCATTTTTACAGACACCGGCGGGGAAAGGCCAGGAACGGCCAGGCGGACATCTTAGGGGAGAGGACCAAACGAGTGGCCGGGGAGGAGGCGGGGGAGGGGGAAGGTGGGGATCCCCCGCTAACTAGGGAACAGAGAAAGCCGGTATCTTTCTGGAATCAGGAAATGCGGGGATGGCTCGGCTCACCTGAGGCAGTAGCAGGCTTCCTTTTTTCCTTCCTGAGGCCTCGCCGGTAGACGAGCGCTCCGTCAACGTAGTGGAGAAAAGAGCACGGGACAAAGCAGGGAACGGACAGGAAGTTGGGGACGGCCTCGGCGGATGGACAGGAACTCGGCCGTACTGGGAACGTCGTCGTCGTCGGTGGTCATGCTACGGGACGGAAAACTCTGCCCTCCTGTGGTCAAACACGGGTACTGCGGTCGCCGAAAAAAATAAAGCTTTTAAATGGGATTTTAAGGCTATTTATTTTCCCCCGTCTTTATTAGTAGCCTATTATTAATATTAATAGGGCGACGGGAGGCCCTTTTGCCATTTTCAAAGGTTTATTTCTTTTGGTGGCTGCTATACCCGGCTTGGCCACGGGAGGGCACTGTTTTCCCTCCCTTAGCGATAGCGGCATTGAGGCCGTGGAAAAGGCCTACGCTGGTAAATGCTATGGGACGGGTATTGCGGCCGCCAAGGGAAATAAGCCTTTTGAATGGGGTTTTCAAGGCTTACCTCGTTGATCGGACGTGGAGTACGCCCTGCCCAGAAGGTCCCCGAAAAAAAGGAAGTGGAAGGACGATTAAGAAGGACGGACCGGAAGTCGGCCATATTGGGAAGGTCGCAATTTAAAGACCCTGGAGGACGGCGAATTTGCGCGGACAGGAAGTCGGACATACTGAGGTCTACCCGAAAGGAAGTAGGGGGAAAGATTACGAACGAAGGGACGGAAGTCGGACATGATCGAAAGGTCCTTTTACCGCAGCACCTGGGGGACGGCCGATACCGACGGGCAGGAAGCCCGCCGTCCAGAGAGGGCCTCTCGCAGATTACTCGTGACGAACCAGCCGGCCGACATGCGCAGAAGGCCGAGGGAAGCGGCCCGTCCCTTTCGGAGGAGCATAGAGTGGCGACCCTTTGGCTGACGCTCTGCGCTTTGGGGCTTAGCTTCTCGGTGTCCCGATCCTGGGCAAGTGGCCTACGACGGCCTCCCTGGTAACGCTATGGGACGGAAAACACTGCCCTCCTGTGGTCAAAAACGGGTACTGCTGCCGCCCAAAGAAATAAATGCTTTTGAATAGCATTTGAAGCTTATTCTTCTCTATTTTTATTTTGAACGCCTTATTATTAATATTAACGTGGCGACGGGGGGGGCCCGGTCGGTGCGACACGGGCGCAGAAGAAATCCTGGTTCCAATCTTAATCCGAGTTAAGGCCTATCGTGGCTTATTCAATTAATAAGTGTTAATAAGCCCAAGAATAATCAATCTTTTAAAAAAAAAAAAAAAAAAAACAAAGGGAGCGTTTATTTTATTTTTCTGGCCGCAGATTGATTTGACCAGTTTTCCGTCCCTTAGCAGGGACTGGCTCAGGGAACTCTGGGAGTTGACGCCACCAGTCATCAAAGAGCAAAGGTTGCCTACCTGCCTTAGCTCTATAGGATGGAGGCCATTAAAAAGGCCTAGGATGGACTCCAAGACCAAAGTAGGGACAGAAAACTGTGCCCTTCCGGGCGTTCAAAAAATGGGGTATTGCGGCCACCCAAAGAAATAAACCTTTTAATGGCATTTTAACTGACCGTATTCTTATCTTTATTAAACGGTATTAAAAACACCTATTAATAGACGAAGGCCTACAAAGTTAGATGGACGGTGAACAAATTAATAAATGCCATTAGTTGCAACTTCTCACGTCTCACCCCTTTTATCCATCATTTAAATGATAAACCTATAAGGGAATGATAGGTTATATACTTTTTCAAAATAAACTACATTTATTTTTATATTGATCGTTTCGTAATAAAAATACACAATATTTCAAATAGATATTTGATATTGCGATTATATTAATACATAGGTATCTCTAAAGAAATATAGTTTAGAAACACCAAGCCCAAATACAAACCTACATACGTACGATCTCCTTAAAGAAAAAGAAGGGCAGGACAAACAAAACTATGCTTGAATAAAAACATCTGGGTTTGCTTGAAGGGGGCGAGCCGGGTGCACTTTTAGGAGCAACCTCTTAAGGTGTACCACAGGGAAGTGCGATACGACTGGATCATGGAGAAACGATAGGGAGTCAGGAAAAAAACATCTACTTCTGCTTCATTGATACGCTAAAGCCTTTCATTTGTGGGATCACAAACAATTGTGGCAAGGTCTTAAAGGACATGGGATATACCAGACCATCTTATTGTCTCTTGAGTAAACCAATATGCGGGTTCAAGAAGCAACAGTTGAGAAACTGGGACACGGAACCACGGATGCGGTTCAAAATTGGAAAAGGATTCAGTCCGGCAAGGCTGTATACTGTCGCACTGCCTTATTCTAACTTTATGCGGAGGACCATCATGAGAAAGGCAGGGCTAGATGAATCAAAAGTTGGAATTAAGATTGCCGGGAGAAATATCAACACCCTAAGCTATGCAGATGATACCACTCTAATGGCAGAAAGTGAAGAGGAACTAAAGAGCCTCTTGATGCGGGTGAAGAAGGAGAGTGCAAAAGTTGGCTTGAAACTCAACATTAAGAAAACCAAAAATCATGGCATCTGGCCCTCTCAATTCCTGGCAAATAGATGGGGACGAAATGGAGGTAGTGACAGATTTTATTTTTCTAGGCTCCAAGATCACCTCAGATGGGGACTGCACCAAGAAATTAAAAAGAAGCTTGTACGGGAAGGACAAGCTATGGCAAATCTAGGACAGCGTACTAAAAACAGAGACATCAACCTGCCCAACAAAAGTGGTATAGTCCAGGCCATGGTTTGCCCCAGTTGCAATGATCGTGCTGTGGAAAGTTTGGACCATAAGGAAGGCTGAGCGCCAAGAATGGAGGCTTTGAACTATTGGTGTGGAGAAGACTCCTGCGTAGTCCCTTGGACGCAAGGCAGTTCAAACGGTCAGTTCCTAGAAGGAGATCAACCCCGACTGCTCTTTAGAAGGCCAGATCCTGAAGTTGAAAATCAAATACTTTGGCCACCTAATGAGAAGGAAGGACTCACTGGAGAAGCGCCTAATGCTGGGAAAGATTGAGGGCAATAGAAGAAGGGGACGACAGAGAATGAGGGGGTTGGATGGAGTCACTGAAGCAGTAGGTGTGAACTTAAATGGACTCCAGAAGATGGTAGAGGACAGGAAGACCTGGAGGAACGTTGTCCATGGGGTCGCGATGGGCATCGGACACGAACCTTCGCACTAACCAACAAAGAATTAAAACTGTTTAACAGCATTTTTAAAACGACGTTCCCTCTATCTGATTAACGGTATACACCTATTCAATAGGGCCCATTGAGAAATTCCACTTAGAGTATTCCTGCTTCAGCAGGCGGCTGGACTAGAAGACCTCCTTAGTCCCTTCCAGCTGTATTCTGACCAGAAATTTCCTCCAATAGGGATTTTCCATGATATCACTAGGAAACATAACATAGGGCAGCCTAGAAAAGTCAGTGCCGTTCCTAACTATACCCAAGCACTCCGAGTACGTTGGCGATGTCAATTTTGCTCTAGGAGTTCACGGTGACGTAACCCTAACCCTAAGTGGAATTTTCCTACAATGGGATTTTCCCATGTATTTTACCATGAAACATAGAAAGGGCAGCCTAGAAAAGTCAGTGCACTTCTAACCATACCCAAGAACTCCGAGTTTGTTGTCAATGTCCATTTTGCTCTAAGAGTTCACAGTGACGTAACCCTAACCCTAAGTGGAATTTTCCTCCAATGAGATTTTCCATGTATTTTACGAGGAAACATAGATATTGCAGCCTAGAAAAGTCAGTGCCCTCCTAACCATACCCAAGCACTCCGAGTTCGTTGGCGATGTCCATATTGCTCTAGGAGTTCATGGTGACGTAACCCTAAACCTAATTGGAATTTTCCTCCAATGGGATTTTCCCATGTATTTTACCAGGAAATATATATAAGGCGGCCTAGAAAACTCAGTGCCCTCCTAACCATACCCAAGCACTCCAAGTAATTTGTTGTTGTTGAATAATCATGAATTTGCTCGGAAAAAATAGGATTCACGGTGACGTAACCCTAAGCCCTAAGTGGAATTTTCCTCCAAGAGATTTTCCCTATGTATTTTACAGGAAACTAATGAATAATTTCAGCTTATAAAAGTCAGTGCCCTCCTAACCAACGAATTAAAAAAAGGAAGGGAAGAAGAAGACCCAAGAAACTCGGAGTTTGTTGTTGATGTTCATTTTGCTCTAGGAGTTCACGGTGACGTAACCCTAACCCTAAGTGGAATTTTCCTCCAATGAGATTTTCCCATGTATTTTACCAGGAAACATAGATATTGCAGCCTAGAAAAGTCAGTGCCCTCCTAACCATACCCAAGAACTCCGAGTTTGTTGGCGATGTCCACTTTGCTCTAAGAGTTCATGGTGACGTAACCCTAACCCTAAGTGGAATTTTCCTACAATGGGATTTTCCCATGTA